GCCGCTGCTGCTGCCGCTGCCGCGGCAGCGACAGCGGCAGCGACAACCGGCGGCGGCGGCGGCGGTGGCGGCGATGCCAACGACGCTGAGTTGCTTTCTCGTCTTCTCAGTGCGCTGTTGCGTTGCTGCGAGAACGCGATGCGTACGACACTCGGGAAGGACATCCGAGTCAGGTACGGAGGGCGGAGAGGGGAGGGCAGGACGAGATGGGGGCCCCCGGTCCGCCGCCACGGCGGCTGCGACGGGAATTCGCCTAAGGAATTACATACATACATAACTCTCACTACGGAACAGTCTGCGTATTCGCTGGTTGCGTTGGTTGCGTTGGTTGCGTTGGTTCTGTTGGTCGATTGTCGGTTGCAGGTGTGGCGAGTGCTTAGGCCTGTTAGGAGCTCTGGATCCGGCCCGAGTGGTTCCGGAGCGCAGAGCCCCTCCCGCGCTGCTCGGTGCGGATGAGGACGGTACGGCATCCGTTCGAAACATCGGAGGCGGCGGCGGCAGTACGGGGCCGTACGAGCTGGAGAAGGAGATCGTGGAACAGCTGGTGCGTGTTTGGGGAGGAGAGGGAGGGAAAGGGGGGGGGCCCCACCAGCTGTGGGTTTTGTAGCTTGCTTTCGGGGCAAGCTCCAAAGGGCCGGGATGCCTAATCAGGAGATATACAGGAGATCTACAGCAACGCAGCCCCCCCCCCTCCCCGGGGTAAGTCCCTCTTGCTGCCCTGCCTCGCCTCTTTTGCCACGTACCACCACCCTACCGGTGGTGTATATAATTCGCAAGTGTGTAATACATGTATGTATACATGTAATACATGTATGTATACATGTATATATACAGGTATACACATATATATATATGTATGGATATATATACATATATATCATAGGTATAGATATAGATATAGATATAGATGTCTACTATTTTTTACCTTAAGATCCCCCTCCCTGGCCTGGCCCCGGCCCCAGGTCCGCATTATGGAGACTACGGGCGACCTCACGGTGTACCGCTGCACGTCGTACGCCCTGCAGTGCCTGCTACAGCACTACAGCGACGGTGGCGGCGGAGGGGGAGATGGGGGGGGAGGAGGGGGGGTGGGATGGGGGGGTTTAGGAGGCCGGGTGGCGGCGGCCTCGCCCGAGCCGGACGGTCTGTACGCTCGCATAAGGCCCGAGTTGCAGCCGCTGATTAAACCCTACCTGACGACGAGGTGTGTCGAGTGGAGGGGGGGTGGAGGGGGGGGAGACGATCATATGCGAGAATGGGGGAAGTGAACGGGGTGGGGGTGGGGGGGAGAAGAGTGAAGGGGTGGGGTGTTTTGTTTCCTTCGAGCCGTGCCGCGTGTGTGTGTTGGCGGCTTGGGCCGAGGTAAGAGAAGGCGGGGAGGGGTTCTATGGCGCAGGCGTGTTGTCAGCTTTTGTCGAAAACGTTTTTTTTATGATAACTGTTTATTGGGTTTCCTAAAAAACTTCTACTTACATATCGTAGGTGCATGTACGTATGCATGTATACATGTACGAGGTTTTTTAGGGTTTTATGGTACGAGTTTAGTGCAGGATGCAGGATGCAGGGGAGGTGAGGACGTTTTTAGTCGGGAAGGCTTTTGGGAACAAGACCTCCCTCCCTTCCTATTGCCACCTATTTTATGTCAATGGCATCTGTCCTGCCGCAGATACACGCTGGAGAAGGACGTGGGTCGCAGCGGGCGCTCCGAAACCGACTCCTTCTTGTCCGGCTCCGCCATCTTCTCCACCACCCCGCGGCCCTCCTACCGCCGCTGGCTTAATTTGTGGATACGGGCCATGCTGCGGTGAGCAGTACAGTACGGCAACCGAGTCGTACTGAGCTCCTTCCCTTATCGCCCTTGCTCCCCCGAAGCCTCAAAAACCTCGAAACCACGACCACGACCAACAACAACAACAACAACAACATCAACACCACCACCAACACCAACAACATTCCCTTCCCTTCTTTTCCCGCCGTCCCAGCAGCGTTGCTTTGCTTTGGCTCAGTTTGTTTTGCCTTCGAAACAATAAAGGAAGGGGCCTATGTTTTCAATTCGCAACTAGTAACTTTGTAAGTTTGCAGGTTTCCGTTATATGTTTCCACCCCGTTATGTTGCCCCTCTGTTGTCCCTCTCACTCCTGCCCTTTCAACACCTCCTTCTGCCCTCCCGTCTCCCCCTTCCTCCTCTATGCACACAACACACACGCACACGCACACACACGCACACACGCACACACGCACACGCACACAGCTATGCAGTGGGCCCCCATCAGGCCGCATTCACTGCCATGACAGCGGTGATGAGGCTGGACCTGCCGCTTATGACGTTTCTACTGCCACAGGTGTGCGTGTGTACGTATGTACGTGTGCGTGTACGCGTATGTATGTAGGTGTAAGTGTATGTATGTACGTGTACGTGTACGTGTACGTGATGTTGGGACCCTGACTGGCGAGCAATAAGTGACGAGGACGCCACATTAGCAGAAGAGAGCAGTCAAGTATGTACGCTAGTGCAATACTGTTGCTGCTACTACAACACTGCTACCGTAACACTATAACACTGCTACTGCTATCACTCCATTGTTGTTCCCCCCCCACCCCCCACCCCATCCCAGGTTGTACATGCAGTGATGGTCAGCGGCCACTCCGGAGCTGTGGAGGCGGTCCGGCGGGAGGTGGTTGCCGTACTGCAGGCGGGGGCGGCGGGGCCGTCCGAAGCGGACGGGCAGCTGGAGTTGTACTTACAGGTAAAGGGGAGGGGGAGAGGGGAGAGGGGGGGGGGTAAAACACATGTGTCTTTGTGTACGTGTGCTTTTTAGGAGACGAATACACACCCACATGAGCATATTGCTCAATGTGTACATGTCAATATGTACATGTTTGCTGGTACGGATTTCACGAGTTTGCGAAAGATGCGATTACGTTTGCAATCTTCTCACGGACAACCACTGTGGGTATCAGCTTTTGATTTTTATGTTTTGCGAATTAAGCTAGTTCGAATACCAAAAATAATCGTACACTGCCGTACATTGTCGTACACCGCCGTACAGTCCTTATCCCTCGTCACCGCTCCCTGCTTGCAGGCCCTATTCGGGCTCTTGGACGTTCTTGGCAGGTGGTTACGTGACGCCTGGCAGCGGGCGGCCGACAAGGCTGCCAACGGCAACCAGCTTCAGGGCGCGGGTGGGGGTGCAGCGGGGGCCGCCAGTACGGCAGGTACGGCAGATGGTGGTGGTCCGGAGCTTCCCCCTGGAGCGCAGAGTGTCAAGGCCTTCATTGAGAGCATTCCCATGGAGACACTGGCGCGGGCCGCG